CAGTTTATTGAACCACAGATTCATTTTCGTCAAGAGCATTTCTTATGTGAGGACAAGGATTGTCTCTCCAAATTGTTTGTTGTGTACGTTTTCAACTAATTCTGAATTGAAGGTCATATCTTAGCACATTTGTATATAATCAATTTTTTTTATTATGCATATATTCCCAGTTCAGTTTTGACAACTCATCCGCACTTGATCTTTTTTTCATCATATTCACAGAGGCAAATAGCCATTGAACATGGAGGACGCAAGTCCCATTCTAAGCGTAATGCCACACTGCAGGTATTTTTGATGTTTTTGATTTCTTATCAATGTTAGTGGGAGTCCCTCTTAACTCTTAGACCTTTCATTCTATTTCTTTTTTATTTTTTCCGTTTTAGTTTCTACCTCATTTCAGACAATTAGTTGCAAGGAGCTTGTACAAAGCACAACTGTTATTGATGTGGCACAAGAACCGATACCGAAACACCGATTTTGACGACATTTAGAATCTTAGTACGATGAATTCGATTACCTAAGACACCACTTAAATTGACAAAATCTAAAATACAAAGATAAATTAAAAAAAATTCACTCTCAAAAACTCACTCAAACAGAAGAGAATTGAAACTTGATTAAAGTGATAAAACTTATGCATACAACGGAAGGAACATGACTATTTATAGGCAAAATCCAACTAAGGTAATAAATGAAAACAGAATACAGTTGGGAGTTAGCCATTTTCGTGGACTTGGGTAGCCATTTTTGCTGACTTGTGGCAATTTTGACAAAGATGCACCGGCTTGTAGTTGTTGGTGCTGCAGGGTAGCTTCTACATGCTTGCTGCATTTTTCCTGGTGCATGATGCATCGATGATCAAAGATTCAACACAAACTAAAAACTTAGTAGTAGTCTTACAGAAAAAGGGTTGATTCAATAGAGAGTTGAAAGTTGCAAATTCATGGTTGCCTTTGCTGACAAAAGAGAAGGTAGAAAAGGAAGTGGCCGGAACCAATATGATAACCCACTTATTTGAAGAGTCTTGAATCTGTTTTCCACAGGATCATAAGAAACCAGAGATCTGTCTTCACTCTGCAACAGGATCCCACCATTCTTCAGTGCACATATAACTGTGTAAAATCTTGGGGGTCCACCAAGAAAATAGGGATCAAAGGAGAATTGTTTTACCCAAGATTCCTTAACACGGTGTTGCTTCATCACCCAGATATCAAAATGCAAATCATCAACCAACGTAGCTGCCGATAGACACCCATTGAGCACGGAAAGAGTGTAGTGACGTGACTCAAATCGTTGACAAGGTGGGTGCGGAATTTCTTGGAACACCTCATCTGCAAGCTCGAAGGAGATAATACCAAAGATAATACCGGCTCCTCCCATCCCAACATCAGTCACCCAATGGAGAGATCCTTCAACTAGAGCCTCAGGTGGTTCATCCCTCAATTGTGGGGGCGGAGCTCCTTTCTTTCTCCACTCTGTTGTTCCTACGGTAAACACCTGAACCATTGATTCATCATCCACTTCTTCCACCTCTAGCGCCGGGTACCACCCAATCCTGACCACTTTGAATTCTCCTGTCCTCGGATGAAACCCAAATCCAAAAACTTCACTTTGATTTGGAAATCGGTTCGCTGGTGGCACTCTCACAGCGTCTCCAACAAAAGGATTGTAAATTAGCAGACTGTCAGACTCCGATGAACCACCGATTATGGATAAGCATAACAGCCCGTTACAGGAACCCACCAGGTTATTAACTTCTGAATGACGTGGTGGATCCATTTTCGTAACCCTTCCACTACAGTCCTCACTATCCACAAAATAGAGTTGGCAGGGGGGGAGGGCAAGGAAATCGTACTTGGACAGAATCAGATATGGGTTTGAGTTGCTTAACCGGTTGCGGAACATCGCAGGGAGTCTTGGATCGGCTATTAAATCATAGCCCGCATGGGAAGTGGTCTTGAAGTGGATCAGAGAGGTGATCGGGAGTCTTGATAGGATTTCGAGTAGAATCTCCCGTGGGAGAAGATGAAGATCTATCTGAACCATTTCTCTGCTGGAAGGATCATCTGCAAGGTTGACTCTTTCATTCTCTCTTCCATCTTCGGCATCCATGTTTGTGCAAAGAAAAAGGAAATGTGAATGATGGGAAACGTTGCCGGCGTCGTATATTTAACGTCGAACCCACGGTCGAAGATTGGAACTCTATTGGGTTAAAGCCAACAAACCCTCTTACTATTTTTATAAACCTTTTCTCTAAACTTAGTGACGAAGTTAGTATAAGGATGACTATGATTCAAGCAAAGACTAAGAAGCTGCACTTAAAATCAAAAAAGAAAAAAAAATGTTAGTCATGTGAACAAACAAATGAAATTACAGAAGAAACAAATATCATTTTCCACAACCCATGTTGACTTGAACATAAAGTTACATTTGAAACCAATCAAACTCAAGACGCATCCCAACAGATGCCAAGACTATCAAGCAATCAATTTGAATTATCTCCATTCACCCAAGGCCCGGAGCGAAGCATTAAAGACAACAAGCATTCATTATAGTCAATTATCAAAACCAAGAAATTCAAAAATATCCACCTTTTATCATCCAAGAACAAAAACTATGATACTTGAGTCCTTCAAAATTAGAGAAATAATAATTGGTAGCCTCAAGTCCTTTTAAAACCCACAAGTACATCTCA